AATCGTTTTGATTGAATTCCACGTGTAGCCGATACGAAATGTAGTTTCATCTCCTTAGAAGAATTTTTTTGTTTTGTTTTTGCTATTCAATAATCTTGCATATAACAAATCTCTATTCAATAATCTTTTGAATTTACTAAAAAAGCATAATCCTATTATTTTTTCTTTTATTATTTACAATATTTTTAGTGCTGAATAATTTCATACACGTTAAGAAAAATGTCATAAGCTTATTGTATGTGGTTGATAATGTGGATCAAAATATACCATTTTTGAATAACATTCAATGAGAAATAAATGTAAAACATAACACAAAAAAAAAAAATATTTTCTGTGTATCCATACAACCAAAAATATAAAAGTTAGACGTATTAACATGAAAATTATGTGCTTACTTGGACAATGTCATAGCATAAATTCATCACCTGTATTAGGGCTGACAAACCTGTATTGTTTGGACAATAAACCGTCATTTAGTACCGTAAGTGCAAGACAGCATAACTCCTCGTCACCCGCCAAATAACAAAAGACGAAGGTCAACGTCGCACACCTTTTTGAAAAAGTCAAAAATCCTTTGGTTCGGGTTCGGCAATGAAGACGCCGGCTCGGCGATCGAAGCGGGTTGATCAGAAATCGGAACCCAAGGTCACAACCCCAGTGGCCCTACGTGCACGAGAGAAGAAATGTTCAAAGACTCGAGCGGTTCGGGTCAGACCCGAATACCCACTTACCCGAACCACCGCCGAGATGAAGCTAATGGCTCCGGAGTTCTTTCAAATCGATGCCCTTGATCTTGCGCCGCGTTTGCTCGGGAAGTTCTTGAGGAGAGACAATGTTGTGTTACGAATTACAGAGGTCAGAGACACCATTCTGTTTTTATTTTTATTTTGAGAATGTTGAGGTGTTTAAGATTCTGGATGTTTCTGCATAATTCTAAATTTATAAATCAGGTTGTAAACTGATTGCGCACAGCTTCACTACACAATTTTATGATAACTGCCGCTTCCTGAAATACTAAAGTTTATAATTTGCATAGGAATTGATTCAGCTTGTTCCTCCTTTGGCAGGTAGAAGCTTATAGACCAAATGATTCAGCTTGCCATGGACGGTTTGGGGTTACCCCAAGGACTGCACCAGTTGTGAGTTTCTTTCATTTTGTTTGTTCTTAACCTTGTAAGTCTAATACGAGTAACGCCTCTCTCTGGAATGTGAAATGTGGTTTGTACGATGTGTTTCTTTTTCATCAGTTTGGACCTGGAGGGCATGCCTATGTTTATCTATGTTATGGTCTTCATATGATGCTCAATATTGTTGCTGATAAAGAAGGAGCTGGAGCCGCTGTTTTGATACGGTCTTGCTCTCCTGTTACCGGTAACAATCTGATCACATTGGCACTGAAACTTTGCTCATTTCACTGTCTTGTTTGAGGCTCAAGATTGTATAGGTCGGCCTTTCTCAAGTGTTCAACTCAGAGAGAAATATCTTCACATCTTTTAAATGTTTCTACTTATAAATTGCTTGATATGCAAAAAAAGAATGTTTTATTGATCTTTTGTTGGCCTAAAGGATGATGGTATTGCAGGGCTGGAGACCATACAAGAGCGTCGTGGCCAGAAAACCGACAAACCCGTTCTACTAAATGGACCAGGAAAGGTCAGTCTGATATCTATTCCTAAATCTACACCTTGCATCAAGCTCTGCATTTCATCTCTTCTTCATTAAAAACAAAAAGTTGAAAGTCTCTCCAATTAGATCATGAAATAGACAATGAGTATTACTAGTGCATAATCAGTTTTTTTTTTTGTCTGTGCTTCTCGCAGGTGGGGCAAGCGCTTGGACTCTCAACAGAGTGGTCTCATCATCCTCTCTTTTCTCCTGGTTAGTCCTCCAAAGACCAAATCAGTTAATGAAGTTTCAAGAGA